GTGTATGGTATGGGCTGGCGCAGTCTTCCTGTGTGAAGCGCCAGGCCCATTTCACACCATGTAACGATGATGATGATGTATGTTCAGGGCTGCATTGCAACATTGATTGTTCGGATCACTGGTATCTAAGTCTTCCGTTGTGCTATCTTATACTTCATATTGAAAGGTCGGTTCTTGTTCTGGTCTGCATGTTACAGTATGGATGGAGGCCAAAAAAAGAAAAAAGAAAAGAAGAAATAAAAAAGTAAAGAAACGAGGAACTTCGAATCCACCTAAGGCTTGGATCCCACTATTGTTAGTGAGGCAATTTTGGGTAAAATTTCGGATCCCACAATGCACCGGGGCTTTCGGGACCCCAAATAAAATTCGGCTGTTTCTACTCGGTGTACCTGTCGTGTCAATCGTACCGTGACACTCGCCGCGATGAGACCTCTACTTTTCCCTGATCCCTAAAAGCCGCCAGCCCCCTGCCCTGTTCCCTAAAAGCCGCGAGCACCAAGAAAACAAAGTTTTTTTTTTTTTTTTTTTCCGTTGACGGCAGCGTGATTGGGTCCGACGCAAATGGACCAACATATTTCGAAAGCCCCTCGAAGGACGGGCCTGTGGAGTCCAAAAAAATTTATACGGTGCGAACGGGAAGGTCCCTGCTCCTACGGGACTTTTCCGACTTTTTGTTAAAAGCGCGATGTGGGATCCAAGCCTAAGTAGGGAAGGCCCTCACGTCACCAGTGCTTTGAGGAATGTATCTGGCCAGTATGTGAGGACCGTCAGACATGCCTTTTCCTTTGTTTGCTTTTGTTGTGAGGTCCTTGTAGCGCCCTGCCAGCCAGACAGGGCGGATTTCACGCGAGTGCCTCACTTCATTCAGTTCCAGACAAGTACACAGCATAAGGGATGGTTTTTTTTTTTTTTTTTTTAATCTGCTGTTGGTGGATAGACGAGGGCCCTGACTGAACTGCTACCTAAAGGCAGCCCGAGTTTCAACTGCAATTGAAACTTGGGCCCTGACTAAACTGCTAAAACGGAGTTTCAAATGCAATTACAAACTGTTTTCGTGACTTTGTCCACCCGAACGGAAAGTCCTGCCATCATCCCTGTCACTGTCAAAAACGAAGTCAATTGTCAGAGAGGAAAAAAAGACCAAAGAAAAAACCTACCCTATCCTGTTGTAAGCTGTTACGGGTATCCAGCGGCCTATCTCAATCGGTAAGGCACGCAAGTGGCATGCAGGAGGTCTTCGGTTCAACTCCCATTGGCCTCATGTACCTGCCTGGGCAAGCTTGGCGCCTGCCACCTAGAGATAGGGCCTGGCCAGACGGTGCAAATAAACGAAAAGAAACGACCTCAAACCTTGCGAGGGCAAGAATCACCGTTTTGACTCGTTTTTTGCAACACTGCCGCCTAGCACACGCGAATTCCCTTGCAGAAAGGGCTTCGCTCGCTTCCAACGTCGCTCTCGAGGCCCGACACATGCAAAAGTACAAAATTTTGGATGTGCTTTCTTTGGAGCTACGTGTTGCACTCGTGCAGATTCGCAGCTCCACTCCACCAGAAGTGAAGCGGAGGACCTGCGAGCTCGCGCAAGTTGCAGGCAGGGATGGCTGCTGCACGTGCTCACACTCGCGAACTTGGAGTCCGATATCTTTCGTGAGGAAACACTGACAGGATCCGCGAGGGTGCTGTGCGAAGAAACGTACGCGAAACGAAGTCATTTTTTTTTTTCCGTGTAGCATGCCGTCCGGCGAGGCCCATAGTCCGTTGGTTGGTCCCCGAGAGCGGCATTTAGCAGAGAGACTGCTGATGTTCATAGAGGGGAGGGGAGGCACAGGGACTGGCCCATCGAAGAAGCTCGGTCCTGACGCTACCGGCTGACCCCTTCGCAGGTTTCGCCCACCTCCTGGTGGGTGCTACGGGGTTCCCTGTCATACTATAATGACAAAAAAAAAAGACCTGAAAGGCCGTCCTGTCCAGATTTTGGGCCTCGCCGCACCACAGTTGAAAGGCAAAAAACTTCGACGGCTGTCAGAACAAATTCGACAGCCTCCATTCTACAGTTTGGCCCCCTTTCGCCACACAGCACTGTAGAGTGCACGCACTTGTGAAAGCAAGATGGAAAAAGACGAACGCGCCTGAGGGTACGACAAGCATCAGTCCATCCCGACCTAACTCCACTCACCAAATTTCGAAGGGAATACCTTTCTCGGCTTTTTGGCTAAGATCAAGTGTATCTGTTCTGATCAGTTTAATATCTTATCCGTGGTCCATCGGCACGATATTAAATTAATTTTTCTGGGCTTCGGAGGGGTCGTACGGGTAAGCTTGCTTGCCTGACCCCTTCAGCGTTGCCTCTGTATTGCACTGCAGCAGAGTGCGGCGCAGCCCTCCTCCCCTCGGGGGCAAAAAAATAAAAATAAAAATAAAAATAATGAAGGGA